GAAATATCATATTGTTATTTCCCCCTCAAGGACTACCAACCCATCCCAAAGGAGTTATCACAGCACATCCCAATTTGAAAATTGTTTTTGTGCTTTTTTCAAAACAGAAACAAAAATTACCTCTTCCAAAAACACGTACCACACACGGACTTCATCTTGTCTATCCCACGTATCCCTTGGTCCATCCCATATCCTCATCCACACACCTTTCAACATGTCCTTCTCAGAAACAATGTTGAAAAGCTTCAAGAAGAAGGCGGCCACTCATCAAGCCCTTTGGACACCGTTTACTTGCCTGCAGTTGAGTATGCACAAATGAAAGCACAATGTGATTGGATTGCCACCAAGATGTGGGATCAGTACATGTCATACATGGGTCAAAGCAAGTCATAGGGCTGCTCAAGTTTTTATTTTTTATTTTTTTTTTACCTTCTTATAGGTTGCTTCTTCTCTGTTTTGTCTGATTGGTCAATTGTTCTTTCTCATCAATCATTTTTTCTGACTAATTGTTCTTTCTGGTCAGTTAATTTTTCATTATTGATTGCTTTTTTAGATTCAATTTCCTCCTATCAAGTTGTTTTTTTGTCATGCATTGGCCTTCCAATATCAATCAGTCTGATTGATTGATCATTTTTTCATTGTTATTTCATTCTTGATTGCTTTCTAATTATAATCAATGGTGCAACCATTACGAGACACGTACTTGTAATGGCCCGTATTGTACTTTCAAAGTTGGCAATTACACGGAATCGTATCGTACTCATTCTTGAGTACGATACGATATATTTTTACATAAGCGTACTTCCCCAATAATACGATACACCGTACTCGTAAGATGATGTACTTGGGAAAAGTACGATACGTGACTGATACAAATACGTAACTAGCTGTACTTCCATGTACTCCTTTTTTCATTTTTGTTTAATTTTTTCTTCAATTTTTTTGCATTTTTTTCAAATTCTTTTCCCAATTTTTTTCCCAATTTTTTTCCCAATTTTTTTCCCAATTTTTTTCCCAATTTTTTTCCCAATTTTTTTCCCAATTTTTTTCCCAATTTTTTTTCTCAAGTTTTTTTTCTCAATTTTGTTGCTCAATTTTTTTCTCACCTTTTTTTTCTCACCTGTTTTTTGGGTCAGGCTAGGAGATTGAACAAGCTGGTTCACTCCAAACCATTTGGAATGAAGTGTTTTTTACTAGAAAATCTCGGCCAAGTTTGTTGGTGTCATATGGAAACATGTTATGTGTGAAATCAACTCAAATTATATCAAATTTTGTGGGAATTTGACACATTATGCTGCTACAAAACACTGCTACATTGTGCAAACAAATGGGGCCCTAGTGTTTTTTGGAGTGTTCAACCTTGCACTCCAATTTTTTTGGAGTGTAAAAATGATGCACTCCATTAATATTCAAACACCAAACACTTCCAAGGTTTTTGTCAGCCTTAGAGCAAGCCAAGCTGGCCAAAAGACTGCTTAATTAAGCCCTCCTTTTCACTCAAGTTCAGACTGTAACTTTTTCATCTTAATCTTTTATTTAATTCTGACTTCAGAAGTTCATTCCTCTGCTGAATTTAAATTATTAACCACTACCCACTTTTACAATACTCTCCTCCTTCAAAGACTTTGCAATATTTCACGGTACCTTGTGAAATATCAACCAAGTTAGAATTCTAACTCTCTCTACCACATGTACATGTTTTGATTATGTAATCCAGCCATGAGAATTATCTCAGTTGATACTGAGTTTGCATTTTCAGGATCTTCAAGGTTCAGACCCACCCAGAAGATTCACTCCAAAAAGATTTCCCCTTCTCACAACATTTCTCCACAGTTTTTGTGTATTCAAAATGAGTTAAATTCCAGCTAATCCAATCTTATATTTCTAAAGTGAACACCTGGGCCCTGTGTACTCCAAAACCTTGGGAGTGGATGGGATGTCAGTTCATATGTTGTTGTTGCTTGATCAATGTTGGAGTGAATTGCCTGTGCACTCCATAAATGATTGGAGTGCATCATTTTTACATTTCTAAATAAATTGAATTTCAAGGTTAAACACTCCAATAAACACTAGGACCCCATTTGTTAGCACAAGACAGCAGCATAAGGTGTGAAATACTTGCAGAATCTGATAGAATTTGAATGGATTTCACACATACTATGCTTCAAAATACTGACTTGGCCTAGACTTTGGAGTATGAAACACTACACTTCTAGTTCAATCCATTTTTGGAGTGCATGTAGTAAAAACTAGGAGTGCCTTTAGCCTGACCCAAAATAAAAGTGAAAAAATGAGAATGAAAAAAAATGAATAAATTGAGAAAAATTGAGAAAAATTGAAAAAAATTGAAAAAAAATGAAAAAAAAAATTGGAAAAAAATGAAAAAAAATGAAAAAAAAAAAATGAAAAAAAGAATAAAAATGAGGAAAAAAATGAGGAAAAAATGAGTAAAAAATGAGAAAAAAACACAAAAAAGTATTGAGAAATGCAGTAATAGTGGTGAAACCCATCCCCATAATCATACAAAACTAAAAAATGTTGAAATTCTGTAATCAAGTGTGTTCTAAATATCGGTGTCAGGCAGGGACTTGGCGGCCTAGTTGGTAAAGGCAGCACTTCTAGTATAGTGTCTTAGCTTCAAGCTAAGGTTGCTGGTTCAAATCCTGCCCAAGTCAATTTTTTCTGCTAACTGTCTGCAAAATGCATTGTTAATTTTAACAAAAAATGCAATTTAAGGCAGTGGGGAGAAAATACACTGAGTACTCTGAATACCGTACTCGTATCGCCCCAAATTCTGAGACGATACAGGCGTATTTTAAATTGTGTACTCGCCGGCCGAGTACAATGTACTCGTATCGTACTTGTTGACTAGGGTGATACGACGTACTCGAGTACACACGTACTCAAAACAAAGTACAGTACAATGTAATGCAAGTACGATACGTGTATCGTAATGGTTGCACCGTTGTTATAATCAATGCACAGTCAATTGGGTTTTACACTCAATTGTTATTTCCAATCAATGCACAATCAATCATTTTGACCAATTGATTGTTAGTTGCTTAGAGCATCCACCCCCGTTCAACTAAATCTCTAGCTAAGCAACGAGCCCCGCGAGGCTCTATTACTAATCTACAGAGTGAAACCCCCCCCCCCCGTTGGTTGGTACCGGCTGGTTAGGCAAAGCCGCGGGAGATATTCAGGGTTGCCATCTGTTGCCGGTACCCCCGTGCACCTCTGCAACTTGGACTCTGTATCTGAAGATCTCATCTGACCCACCTTGCTATTATGCCCTATAGCGTGGACGACTACATACCTCTTCGACTCCATGGAAGAGGAGATTTTCCATCGCCTACTCAACTCAGTCTCCAGGCCCCCCGAAAGAAGAGCTCCGGAAGGCCCAAGAATGGTTATCCACCGAGATCGGACTGCAGGTCACAAGAGACTCATGGCCGACTACTTTGACGAGAATCCGGTCTACAACAACCGGATGTTTGAACAACGGTTCCGAATGAGTCGAGGGATATTTGATTGGCTCTGTCACGATCTGCAAGAACATGATCGATTTTGGATTCTCAAGAGTGTAAGTTCGATCACATCATCTTGTTTTTGATTGTGGTTCTGACTGTTTTTGGATGGATATAGGATTGCTGTGGAACCATTGGACTCTCCCCTCAACAGAAGATCACAGCCGCCATCCGACAGCTTGCGTATGGCACCAGTGCGGATTCAACTGACGAGTACATTCGGCTAGGTGAGACGACAGCACTACAAACACTGAAAAACTTTGTCACTCACATCATTGAGCTCTACGGGTCAGAGTACCTCCGACCACCCGTGACCCAATAGAGAGGAGCTCAACTCAATCTTGCAAGAGAACGAACAACGTGGATTCCCTGGTTGTATCGGCAGCATTGATGGCATGCACTGGGCATGGAAAAACTGCCCATCTGGATGGGCTGGCCAGTACAAAGGCAAAGAGAAAAAACCAACCATCGTCTTAGAAGCTGTGGCAAGCAAGAATCTACGCATTTGGCATGCATTTTTTGGCAGCCCCGGGGCCTTGAATGATATCAACATTCTCCATCGCAGTCACCTGTTCAATCGTTTACTATCTGGTGCTGAGGATGCCTTTGACTTCACCATCAACGGCCACCATTACTCAACAGGATACTATCTATGTGATAGCATCTATCCACCATGGTCAACTCTTGTCTGTTCAATCAAGAATCCGCAGGGTGGCGCCTCAACTCACTTTGCGAAGCTTCAAGAATTGGCTCGGAAGGACATCGAGCAAACCTTTGGCGTCCTTCAAGCGCGTTGGCATGTACTGACCGTGGGGTGTTGTTTATGGGAAAAGGAGGATGTCATGCGGATCATGACATGTTGTATTATTCTTCATAATATGATTTTTGAGGATCGATCTCCAGATGACCCCTTCTTGACCGACATCACTTCTGCAGCTCACATCCTCCCAAACCACACCGATCCAGAATTAGCTCATTCATTTGCAAATTACATCCAGTTAAACCAGAATCTACATAATTCATTTCTGCATGCTCAGTTAAAAGAGGATCTGAAGATTTACAACTGGCTCCTCCGAGGTGATCAGGCTGCTTAACAGACTTTGTTTAGTTAGATCCCAATTGTTCTATTGCTATCTTTTACTTCAATTTCACATTGGGTTTCAATACATCTACCAAAAGTAATGTGATGAAGTGACATTTACTTATAATTTTTTTCATGTCTCACTTGTCAACTTGCTTGATTTGTCTTAATCAGAACCATCCGGGCCAGTATTCATATCACGTGTGATTCTTAATTGAGCATGTATTTTTAATCAATCATGTATTGTGAGCAGAGTGAAATGGAGTCTTGAGAAGGGAAAGATTGGTCATAAGGCAACTAGAAAGATCAACAAGCTGACACGGACATATGAGGTATGAGGCTGACACAGACATATGAGATATGAGGAGGTACAACTAAATGCTGCTGTATATTTAAGAGGAAAGCCATTTGTGAATGATTTTTTTCTTCATCATTGCGAGTACCTCTTTGGCCTCGGTGTCTTCCTGTCCATTGGTCAAATCGCGGAGCAGCTTGTAATCGTTCATTTGGGTCTCACTCTGTTTGTGGGCTGCTTGAATCACCAAGTCTTGTTCCCTCAGCAACAACTTCTTCTGCTCAATCTTCAAGATTTCCCTCGATATTTTGTTTTTCTCCTTCTCAACCGCATTTCCCTCGGTCAGGGCGGTCAGGCGGTCCTTCGAAATATCAGCAAAGTTAGCCGCAGAGGCTAGCATCTCATCATCTTTGTAACCCTTGATTCAACGCTTCTTGGCGGCCTTCCCACCAATCGGGCGCGAGATCGATGATCCATCACGTGAGCTTGGGGTACAGATCCCGGTCGGTGTTGCTGGTCCATTGAAGGTTTGGTTTCCAAGAGTTCCTTCACTGTTGATGTTATCAGAGGAGGGGATTGGGACTGTGAGATCGGGTCGATCACCTGGCAGTATCGAACCTTCTGCCAGGCCGAAACTGAGCTGAATGCCGTTCCTTTGGTCTGATCGGCATAGACGGTCATTGCGGCTGCCATCCAGTCTTCAGGAGAGGAGCCGCTAGGAGGGTTTCGCTTGATCACATTGTAAATGGCAGCAAACTTGAGGGTCGCAGTATTTAAAGAGGTCCACCTGAAAGAAAGAGATCAATGATTGGAGTCGACTTTGCATGCAAAGAAAACAAAGGAGGATTCATACCTGATTTTGATCTGTTTGTGGTTTCAATAGTGAATCTTGCTGAAGGTATTAAAGTTCTCCTCTATCTTTTTGTAAAACATTGTCCCTGTCTGGTTGTTAGAAAACTTGGGCTGCTCGCTGACATGAACCCATGAGATCGCAAGCTGTTTTTCTTCAAGTGGAAGCCAGTTGGGCGCTCATTTCTTCTTGGTAGTTTTGTTGTTGGTTGGAACAATTTCAATTTCGCCTTCGGCCATAGATGATTAATTTTCTTTCTGGTAGAAGGGAGATGTTTTGTGGGCTGGGCAACTGATGTGATTGTGATGGGGTGTGTATATGGATGTGAGGGGTGTAGAGTAATGAGGACTTATAATTTTTTAATTCGGCCTCAATAAGTGTTGGCTAATGAGGCTCTGTAGGGGTTCGTAACTTTATGAACCCTTAGCGAGAATCTTGGAGATTAATTTGTTACAGAGCCCTAAAGAGGGCACGGGGGTATGAATATGCTTAAATTCTCTGTAAATCCCGCTTACCGAGCGGGGTTACAGAGACGAGGGTGGATGCTCTTAGTGAATGTTTTTTTGATTGGCTGAGACAAAAAAATATGGATTGACCTTATGGTGAGCAAAGATAAGAAAGTCAAGATCAAACAGAGTGGAGGCAAGGAGTCACGATGAAACAGAGCTGAAGATCAAGAAGTCAAGAGGAAAGAGAGCCTAGGGTGATTCTGAAGAAGCAACTCAGTCAAACTGGTTGCTTTGGAGACAAGATGGCACAGTCCATTTTTGCAAACAGGGGTGGGGCCGTTTCCTCAAACAGCAGCATACTGCCAAAAAAATTGGAAATTGGCAGGCCCGCCCTTAACAATTCAAAAAACAAAAGCAAAAAGGGTTTTACAACAACAGCAACTTTGAACCAACAACCATGCATGATGAGTTTGCAAAATCGATTTCTATTGGTCACATGGGGGCCAGCACTTCTTAGACATGCCTCATTGGCAGTTCTTGGCTCAGGACTTGAAGCCTCGATCCGGTCATCCCACCGGTTTGTCAGGATGATGTTTTGCCGCTATCGGCATCAAGCGCTACATGCGGTCCTTGCCTGAAGTGCAATCTCCATGAGAGGACTTCGAAATCTTGAGGAACATGATGGATTGATAATCCATGACTGTTGAGTCAACATCTCCAGGAAGGAGGGGCAGCAAACGACATATGTGACACTTTTCGGACAAGCTTACATCGAGTTACGTTTATCAAATAAGGATAGTTAATTGGCAATCAGGAAACAACAAAATTAACAAGATACATGCTTAGTACTTTCAGGATGAAATTTCAACGAGTGGCGACTTGAAAGGAGGCCTTTCGATTATGAACGACTTAACGAGGGATCGAAAGCTACAGAAAGTACACGGTATTGTTAGTTTGATTATGGTGAATCGAAATCGAAAGCGGTTTGAAGGGGATCTTGATAAGTAGTTCAGAGGACATAGGTTGTTTGCTCCCCAGCTTTCACCGTAAGGTGAAATTTCGGATTAAAGATATCAAGCAGTTGTTTTTGGTTTTCATCATGAAAAGAGTGGTGGGTGTGTAGAGATCCAGAGAACTTGGCCAGATCGAATGAAACTACTTACGAAGGCAGATTGTGTTTCGGTGCAAATGCCACCAAGATACGAAAGCCTCAGATGGAAACAGCGTGAATCCATAGGTGGTGGGGGTTCATGACGGAGTCGTGGGGTGAGGTGCCGTCTGCGGGGGGGGCACCCCGGTAGCTCGAGGTTCGCGGTTAACCTAACTCGACAAGGGCCGATTGTCACCCTCACTGGAATTTGCCGCACGGATGCGCGGGGCAGGTGGTTAAGGTTAGGGCTAAGCCTAGCCACCCACCGGTACCCACTCCCAGCTCTTCTCGCCCGCCCCCTCACCACGGCCTCACGAACCATCACCTCCGATCGATCAACCCGGCATCCGACTCTCGACTAACGACCCCCCTCCGACATGGGTGCCTACAAGTATATCGAAGAGCTCCAAAAGAAGAAACAATCCGATGTTCTTCGTTTCCTCCTCCGAGTCCGATGCTGGGAGTACCGACAACTGAACGTCATCCACCGGGCCTCTCGTCCATCCCGACCTGACAAGGCCAGACGTTTGGGTTACAAGGTATGCCAAGCTTACTTCATCCGGCTAGGCTCTCCATGAGTTCAGCTTCTTAAACTGTCGATCTGCTGGCTTTTCAGGCCAAACAAGGCTTTGTCATCTACCGAATTCGTGTTCGTCGTGGTAACCGAAAGAAACCAGTCAAGAAGGGTGCCACCTTCGGTAAACCCGTCCGTCAAGGTGTCAACCACCTCAAATTCCAACGTTCTCTTCGATCCACTGCTGAGGAGCGAGTTGCCAGACGATGCGGCAATCTCCGTGTCCTCAACTCCTACTGGGTCAACCAGGACGGTGTTTACAAATACTACGAGGTGCGTTGCAAAAGTAGTATAAAATCTATTCATGGCAGTGTTCTCACCTGTAACCTCTTCCCGCTTAGGTCATCCTTGTCGACCCATCTCACAAGGCTATTCGTCGTGACCCTCGCATGAACTGGATCTGCGACCCTGTCCACAAGCGCCGAGAAAGCCGTGGTCTTACCGGTGCAGGCAAGAAGGTACGCGCCCAATTTACTTGTAGGTGCTGGTCATTTATACTAACCATCTCCACTTTCTATCTTCCCACTTCAGAACCGTGGTATTGGCAAGGGACACCGTCACAACCATCAACCCAAGAACGCCGTCTGGAGACGACACAACACGTGAGTAATCAATTGCTGCTTCCTATCCTTTGCTTGTTAGAGTTTACTCACCCAATCTTCTGGTCTCTTTATAGTCTGTCACTTCGCAGATACAGATGATCTGTCTCACCGAAAACAAGTGTTATTTCTATGCTCCCATGCGTTGTTTATGTGTCTGATCTTTATGCCAATTCACACATGTCTCACCACTTGGGCCTATCAACATTTCTCCAAGCGGAGTGTTGCTTTTTGTCCCCTCTTTTTGCTTTCTCATCCGGACCGCTGAGGTGTTCGGTGAATTACGCGCATGATTCTAGCCCGGCGTGATCCATGCAGTCTCGGTCAACCGTAAGCAACAGACAACCGCGGGACTAATCTGGGGTTTTACTCCGTGTTCCGATCAAACAATGTTTCATCTCGTAGATTGAGTGCAGTCAAACTTGTCAGGCCACACCCTTCTCATTGTATAAGCTACTTAAAGGCACAGGGAGCTCCTTCTGCCAATTATTGGTTCCTCTGAAAAGGCACTTCACCTAAGGACACAACCTGTCAGGACATGCAAAAAGCTTTCTCCCAGTGGGTATTCCCTTGGACAGACCTGAGATTTCTCTGGTTGTACACCTCAGCGGGGCTTTGGATGACGCCACCAGTCCCCAATCTGTTTATCGCTGCGCACAACATTAGATTCGTTCTTACGTTGTACGTACCGTCGACAGGAAATTAGGTATCTGGTGTTGAAGCTTGGTTGATATCTAAACAGCCCCTGTGACAATCACAGTCTTGCCTACAACCGTTGAGTATTTTCAGTCTGACGAAACCAAAACTTACCATGTACGATATTGTTTTGGTCACAGGAATACATTGCCCTAAATGTGTCGGGGTGGGGTTCAGCTGTGTTGGCATCAATGAGGCAAGCAAGCGACAAAGTTATGCATTCACCGGACAGGCACGGAATCCTCATCCAGTTGTAACACAACATCAATACAAGGACTTTAAAATACACTAGAGCAGGGTCTTCAACCCGCCCGTAACAAGCGCGAGGGGATATTCATCCTGACTCAGATTGCCCCAAACGCTTCGACCAACTTTTATTTGCCTCACATTTTGTACCGGATGTTGTGCTCAGTGTGCAAAGCCATTTCTCTTCTGCGAGGTGGAGAAACAGGAAAAATGATGGGGTGGCAACCAGGGGATGATATCTTGATGGGCCTGCAACCAACTGTGATTGAAGGGACGATTGGCTGCTGGGATTTGGACTCAATGGAAATTGGGAATAGTGGCTATTGTGAGGATTTTGGGCAAAGGCCATGTTCTCATCTGCAGCCAGTCCTGGCTGGGCAAAGTAAGGGTAAGAATCCTTCTCCTCACAAGCAGAAATGTGCATTCCTTTTCGATGGTACAACCTCTCAGCAAAGAAGATAATATTTCTACTGTCTAGTAACATGCTAACTGCTTAGAATTTTATTGCTTGAATCATATTAATTTCCTTCAGTTATAGAAAGCCTGAATCCTGCAAGCAGGATTTCAAGTACTAGAGACCATTGGTCTGACACTCAAGGACTTTGTCTTGATAATATACCACTTGTGGAGCCCTACTTTGCAAAAAATGCAGCTCAAGAAAGGAGAGAAGTAGACATTCAAAATTCCGGTGAGCTGGTAGATGAGAGTAATAAATTGCTAATAGAACTATTCCTGAGTCCTCTTTTTCCATTGATTATTTCAGATCATGGTTTTCAATCAAGGTTGCCATCTACTACAGAGGAATCAAACTCAAGAAACATTGCAACTCAATTTCAAGAACATACTTCATCTCAGTGCATGAATTCAGATGATTCTAATGCCCATCAAGTTCATAAAGAGGAACAATGTGTTGGTAGATTTTTCCAAACCCTTGGGCCTATGGACTTGGTGTGGATACAAGATCCACTTTTACCCAATTACACAGAAAGATTCAAGAATTATTATGAAGCTTTGATAATTTGTGAAGATGAAAATGAATTTCCAAAAGTGAGGTTTTCCAATCTACCAGCTGTTGAGTTCCAAGGTTGTGTGAGACCAATAGTTGAATCAACTGGAAAATTGATCAAGAAAGAAGATCTCTTTGATCATGTTGAGTCTTTGATCACTTGGCTGATTTTCATTAACATGGTCATACTGAAGGTTTTGGTTCCCAAGTTAAGTCCAGGTGATCAGATCTTATCAAATGATGAATTGGTTAATTGGTTTCTTAGAGAATTTTTTCATCCTACTGAAAGTCTCCCTGTACTTGGATTAATCAAAGCAGAAAATTACCTAACAGCTCCACGTGAATTTCAAAAAGTCCAAGAGAAGATCATCATTTATTTATCAAAAAGTCTTACTAATGAATCCACTTTATCAACCTCTTGCTTGGCAATCATTGAATGGTATCACAGCACCAGTTTTCAAATTTCAAGATTCCTCAAAGAAGCCAAAAAAGATGAATTTTCATTCATTGTTGAGGATTTGATACCAAAAGTAATCAGATCAAATAAAGCCCATCAGTGCAAATTGAATTCATCAAATTCATGGAAACTTGGTAATTTTCTGCTTCTTGATCCCAAGGGATTTCCTCAGGAGATGATCGCTTCTGAATATTTTAACATCACTGTAGATTTGAGGGGACATGTAGGTTCAATAGTAAATAGAATCAAACAATGCAAAGAATTACTTCCAACAAATGATCATTTCAAGTTGAAAATTACAGATCTTCCTTCCGGATGCCAATACCCAACTGAAGTAACCAACAAGGATCCATTCCTGATTCAAAGCGACATTGAAGATCCCCAAATCATGAGACGGCTTGAAGAAAATCTCCAGAAATTTGTTGACCTGTTGGACAGGTTCAAATATCTTGTTTTAAATTTACTATTCTGTCATTTTATTTTCATGAAGTTTGTGATCCAAGATATGGAAATTAAGAAATTCAAAGTCTCAGAAGCCCAACTGATTGATTGGATTACAGTTGAAATGTTTGAACCGATTAATGGGGCTCTACCAGTTTTTGGAAAGAGGACATCAAACGATGATCAAGTTCTTGTTGAAAACACAAGATATGGAGAAGTCCAATCATTCTTGATCAATTTCATGAGAGGTTCTGGATCACATAGAGTCCTGGCACAAGTCTCCATTGGTTTGATTGGTTATTGGTTCAAAAATCACTACCAATCTCAATGGGTAAAATCTATTCCAAATGATCACACCTTTTGGGAAATGATGATTGATTTATTTAGGATCAATAATCATCTTGTCAAAGATTTTCATTTAAAATATGTTGTTGATCAGTCCAGTCCTAATAGTACCGTCATTCATTCTTACTCTACAAAAAAGGGAAAAAGACAGAAAATAAAGTAATATTTGTCTTTTTCTTCTTCTCTTATTGTTTTTCTTTTTTTATTCTGCTATTTATGTAAATCAGTGGCTCTCTAATCTATGTTTTCTACCAATGATTCCAAATGGACAATCACATCAGCTCAAATGCTTTGTTTGGAAGGACACCATAAAAAACACATCATTACTCTTGTTATCAAATGCAGAACTTGGACGAGCACTAAGCACATTAAATGCCACAATGTCGTATCTAGGAGGTAGGTGATAAGTTTTTTGATCAAGGTCTTTTTTTGGGTTATGTATTATAGGAGGTGCTTCATGACAAAGTCCAAGTTCCTTCGTCCGAATTCCACCCAAATAATGAGGCACTGGAAGAAGACCGAGCGACCAATATAAGGCAATCAGAACTAATTTGATCAAGAAAAAGAGATCGGGAGATGGAAAGAAAGAGAGCTAACTCGAGACCCATCTGTTCCATCATCCAGCCCACATCCTTGTTGGGCTTGGAAGCCGTGACTACTGGATCATCTATCTCAAACTTCGAAGGTGGTTGAAGAGGGTTGGGAGATTTCGAAGGATCGGCGAGTCCATCTACGTTGTAGTGTCTGGTCGCAGTCGATTCGCCCAGGATTTCTTGTGCTGTTGGTAGTTCCTCTGGCGGATTGAGATTGGAATCCCAATTAGAGCCTTCCAATCGGTCTCCTTCTTGATTTTCAACAAACCCAGATTTGGGATTCGTCCTCCCTGCATCATACTTGTTGTCGTAGCCCCAGCTCGTCCTCGAGTCGATTTGATTAAATTTCGGTTCACTCGACTGGTTCTTTCCGACTAGGTCCCATAGATATTCTGCCGCTTCTCTTGATAACCGGTTCGAAGGGAATGGTCAAAAGAAAAGAAATTGTCATCAACCAACGGTTTACATTTTTGGTGGTTAGTAGTTGAGCATCTCTTAGACATATGATTTTAAGTCTTAATCACTTGCCTGCCTGAATCCATCCATTTTTCGGTCGCCTTTTCGACTTTCTCTATCGTACAATCCCTCAAGATCCGTTGACCATCATGCAATCTCACCAGCTCGCTCTCCAGTTGTTTGATTATTAGAACTTGATTCTGTTGTTGAGTACGAGTTCGGTTCCTGCTTCCAATCATCATCGGATTTCTGAACGGCTTTCCAAAACTTGCTTTTTCGTTTGGTTTGCAGGTCTCTTCGTTCGATTCGGTTTCCACTCGAGTCCTCTTCCTTACCGTTCCATCCTTCGTTGCGCTTAGATCTGCCGAGGGTGTAGACCTCTCTGATCCACTTCCGGATGCGGTTATCAGTTCATCAGAAGCTGATCGTTTTCTCGGCACATGGTTGTTCTGGAACATCTCCAATTGTCGTTTTTCGAAGGTTGTTAATCTTTGAAGCTGATTATTTTCTTTGTGTAACGATAAGGGTGCAGTCCAGACGACTGGTATTCTTCATGGCACCATTTGAATCTTGGCTCACGTACGAAGCGTTCAACTTAAGGTTTATCTCTTTGCACTGCTCCTCACAGCATTACCCGTTCCTCATGCTAGCAGTAGGAAGGCCGCATTGTGATGGGGCTTGCTCTTGTCTGGATGTTAGAATCCCAGCTAGGTCCACTCCAATCCGTCCTTGGCATCGCCCAAGTTTGTTCAATCGTTAAGGGAGTACCATACTGACTCAACAGATGCAACACATGGGAGCAAATGAATAGACTATGACCACCACTTGGATTTCCCCTTGCAATCTGAAAACTGAAATACCAAATGGTTCAAGTTACAAGCCAAATGAACCGGGTTTGGATTTTGGGAAGGCCATGCCCATACCCAAACACCAAGGCCCAGATCAGAACGTCATAATCAAGTGAAATATGGATTGGACTGAGAAAAATGAGTGATTTGGATGATGTCTGAAGTGAAAATGACGAAATCAAAATAATGACCTAAACAATTTTGTATAAATCAGTTTTGGAAATATACCACAACTACATACAGAAAGATAAAAGCAACAATGGATGGAATCACTGTAACATTTAATGGTGAGGTTTTTATTTTGTTTTACTCTTTTTGACTTTGATTTTGGAATCTGAAGATTGATCAGACACTCTTTTTCCTGACCTCCGACGCCTTTTAAAACCCTTGAAATTGGCTTGATTGTTGAGGATTAGAGTAATCATAACAGATGAAAAGATCTTTGGGTTATCTGAGAAAGCTTCATTCCATATATCTGGGTTGTGCTTCTCCAACCAAAATCTGATCATAATTATTGATATTTGGGGAAGTTTTTGAACAGCCTGATTGAGACTTAGGAACCAAATTATCAACTGTTGAAGCTCTCCAAATTCTGACTGGTTGAGTGGTACATTGACTGGATTGAGTATTCCAAATACAGGAAGACTTTCCTTTGGTCTCAATAATTCATCTTCAATCCAATCAAGAAATGCTCTTCGTGAGTCTTGAAGTAGGATAATATTCCCTGATTTTTCCATCACATAGTTCATCAAAAACTCATGACAAAAGAATGAATATGTAATCAGGCTCTTGATTTTCTCTATCAATGGTGTAGTTCTGATAGTTTCATTGAAGCGGTTTTTGATTTTGATTGTTTCCACTTTCTTGAGGCTATGGCGCTTTGATAACAAATAAACTGGAATTTGCTCAAAGTGTCTTCTTACTTGAAATCCATGTGGAGTAGTATGATATAATTTTTTGATATTACCGACCAACTCAATAGCTTTTTCTCCATAAAACTCAATTCCATCAAAGTTTTGGTCAGGTATTATCTCCAGAGGTATATCTTTAACATCAAAAATGTCAAGATCTTTAATTTGAGCTGGATTCAATGAAATTGTTGAAGTTTGATTTTCTTTTTTGAATTTTATTTCATTCTTTATCAGATCCTCCAGAACAGCATAATTGGCATCTTGACCATTCAAGATTTCAAGCAAGTTTATGATTTGAGGATTATACTTCTGATGAAATTCCAGTATAACATAGAGTGCATTTGAGAAAGCAAGTTCCTTAGAAATCTTTCCTTTGGATGAATAGATTATAAGGTTGATTTGCAATTCTTGAAATGCACTTTCATTCATGGGATAATTATATTTTGGAATTAATCCTAAAACTGGTAGACCAAGTTCAGGATTGAATATTTCTTTTGATAACCAACCAATGAGTTGATTATTAATGTGAGAAAATTGTTGCTCTAAATTGGATTCTGTGAAGAATCTCCTCAATATAGCTGTGTTGATGAAAATCATATACTTTATTAGCAGTTTCATGTGATTAAGAAAGCCCAACTTTTTCACAAGTTTAGTTGTTGATTCATTGAAAGGCCGGACATGAAAGTTGTACTGAAATGCTGGGATATTCTTAAATCTTTCAATTTCTGGCTTGAATCCAATTGCAGAATTTCTTTCCAATGAGAGATCCAAGTATTTGTCAGAAATTATCCTCACAAAACTACCTAAGTAAGGGCCTTCAAGAAATTTACGTGATGAAATATCTGGAAGTTTTTGGAAGAATAACATGTGAGATTGAAGTTTTTTTGAATGGATGTGTGGTTGATATTCTCTGTTTAGTTTAATCATATCATTTTTTGTTTGATTGTTTCCAGTCAAGAAAATTTCTAAATTTTTTTTGGAAGATGGGCCCTCTTCAATACACTCCTTTGGAAATTCAGTGGTTGAATATGGACCAGAAGGTAATTTTGATACCATAATTTCATCTGGAAGAGCATTTTTTTCCCATCAGGATCAACAATGCAGATTGAGAATTTCTTGTATAGTGATTTCTGCTTACTCTGATTTTGTGAGTTTGTAAAAAATGATTCTGTGGACTTTGGTGAAATTATATTTTCCAAAAGTAGATCTGCATCCAAAATTGTACTTAGTAGATTCTCATGTGAATTTTTCTCATGGCTTGCATTTGATATGATATTTTGACCTAAAAAGAATCCACATAAGATCAATAACAGAGATCAATTTCTACCAGAAAAAGTCAAGCAACTGGTGTCAGTTGACATGTCATAGCTCAAACCAAAATATGCTTTCAACTTGAGTTGAACTTAGACTTTCTTCCTACATTTTCCTGGTCCAACCCTTTAACACCTGATCAGGGTGGTACCATCAAATTATCTAAACATGCACACATCTGTTTCCAATGATATTCAAATGTGTTTTGCTGCATGTCAACTGGTACTAGTTGCTTGACTTTTTCTTGAAGTGTGGTATTCTTAATCTTAAAAATTTGTTGCTTACCATTATTCTTCAAGATCTTTGACCCAGATTCTATTAAGTTGTTCAAAGGTATATGATCCAAAACCAAATTTTCATCTGAATGTGCATTTGGTGGATCATGAGTGATTGAACTTTTCCCAGAAATCAGCCTTGATAATATATCTATCTCTGAACAAAAAAAATCAATCGGGATCAACAACACATATATGGAGGCTTAGTAGAGAAACTCCAACACAAGGGGCCACTTTGGGATGCAAAATTTTACATATGGCTCCCCAACTGCCATCTTAGCTTCTCCTTCAGTGTGCTCTAAATCACACAGAATGGCTAACTGGGGATATGCAGATTAGTGTGGGGTTGGGGACTGGGGTTGGAAATGTGATTTTTGATTTTTGTAGGGTGAAGTTCAAGTATATGTCATGGGAGGAATTGAGGTTCCAGATTGACAACCACACTCCCTCACATTGCCAATAAGCCCCAGATAGAACTAGCAGTGGATTTGTTCTTCTGGTCCTTGGTTTCTAAATGGTAACCCATTTTATATGCCTCAAAGGAGGTGCTCTAGATTACTATGTTTTTCATTTTATACTTACGCTCATTTATCAAGTTTTCTGGAATTGTATCTTCTTCTTGTTGACAGTTGTGATGGTATATAATCCAAAAGAGAATTTCAAGTTCAAATTTTTGAAGGTGGTTCATGGTCAAAGGGATTTTAGAATATAATTGATAATATTACTATAAGTCTACCAAGAATTAAATTGTCAAATCATTCTTACTAACCTTGTAAGAAATTATCATGTTCTCTTTCAAAGATACTCAGTGGTGAAAAGGTGAGGTTTATTGATTCTAATATTTAAAAACCCATATTCCAAGTCAGTTATTGCTGCTCAAAGTAAAAAATATTGATAGGTATCTCTGCAGATTAATTTTAGAAAAGAAATATATTACCATTGTTGGAAGACTTTCTTTTGATACTTTCAGATTCAAAGTTCAAGTAATTATATTCTGAATCCCTGAATTCAGAATCTTTGGGGAAATCTGATTGCATAGGATTTGAATCTGATCCTGAAGCCCCTGCAGATCCAAGAAAACCAAAATCATTTGCTGAACCCCAATCTTCCAAGTTCAAAAAACTTGATACAAACTGATCTTCCTTTGAACAAGTTGGAAGGACATTCATGCACATATTTTCACCCATTTGTGAAATTGAAATGTTACCACCTGGTCCAACTGGTGGTGCTGGAGTGTTCATGCCTCCTGAGAAAGAGAAAGCTAACTGATAAAAGATTTGAAAAGTCACTTGATTGGTCCAATATATCCTAGACATAGTAGTATAGAGTAAATCACCACTGGTGATATTAAAAAAAAATAAGATCAATTAAGTATTCTGATTGTTTGAATAATTATCAAACTGGTAAGCAAAATCTCAGAAGTCCAGGTAAGCTACTTCAAATTCCTGAGATGATCTTACTTGAATTGACTGAGAAATGTAGAATACAGATTTCAATTTTTATGAATCCAAAACTTTGGCATTTTCATGAAGTTGAAACAGTGGGATATATTGCAAGTATCAGATAGATAATATTCTCCTAAAAAATTACATAAAAATTCAGTTACATCTTGACAGAGTTTCAGTAATTCTGCTGGTTATCTCAGGGGAAGTTTTTTTTTTTTTGCATGAATATATAGTTTATGTACTGGGGAAAGAAAGGTTCAAATATACAAATTGAGTTGAGGGGCCTGGTTCCAATGTCAACCACTCCTCCAGAGTGGGTTTTTTGTCTGTAACAGGAGCAGGTTTTACCTCTAGCCTAGCAAACACTCACAAATCCTTGCCAACACTTTAGATTTGGGAGGATCTTTTGTCTTACAATGTCAACTTTTTGAAGATTGGCAAGGCAGATTATACCCTTGTGCTACCTCCGTTAATAGAGCATTCAACTCTTACTCTGTGGATTGGAATAGAGAAAAACACTTGAGTTGTACTACTTTTCTACAAAATTTTGAGCTGTGGCTTCCATCTTGATATTTATAGTTCTTCATTTGATTATTTTGATTGCAACCCCTGATCTTCCATATAAGATTATAAGCAACGCTGGGCCAGATACACTAACCGTAGCGGTTGGCGCAGCTTAACGTAGCGGAATTCCACGCAACTTTAGCATAGCGTAGCGGAATTCCACCACGTCAATGCTAATGCTACACATGCAGGCCCTTAAAGCGTGCCCGCTACGCTGCGCTAACACGCTGTTTAGCAGCTGTTAGCGGCCCGTAGCGCAGCGTAGCAAAAAGTTGCTAACTTTTTGCTAACACTACGCAAATCTGGCACGCAAAAAGGACCGCTACGCTAATGCTTTTTGGGCAAAAAGCGTAGTGTAGTGTAGCGGCCCAGTGCTGTTATAAGGTATTCTGTAGTATGTACATTTGTTTGAATGGGAGTGTTAAGAGGCACACGGCTCACAAGGACTGAGATTCAGAGACTGGTATCTTGTGACACTGGGAGCTGACATTAAGGAAAAAGTTGCTTTGTATTCAGTAAGAAGACAGGCTACATCCCTTGGATCAGAGATCAGGTGGACTAAATACAAAGCAAAATGAATAGCTATAGTAGAAGCATACTGTAATGGATATAAGCATCTCATCAATATCAACAGGTAGTACAGGGTGAATTTCTCCCAACCCTGATGATTTGAAAGATCTTGAGGGTGAAACATCAGAATATTGGAGGACTTCCTGTCAAATCTGACCCTCACAGATGTTGATTTAGACCCAAAAATTCTGGAATTTGGCTGGGAAATTTAGCTTTTGAGCCTCTAAATGTCTTATGAGAGACTTGCAGATTTTGATGGGAAGTTGACCATTAGGAGAAATGAAACTGGCCAAAATCACCAGAATAAAACAAGGATTGCCGTGGTACCAAATGCATGTCCAAGGCCACCCATGAACATAACACATTGTGGTTTTTGATCCAATTTTGAAAAAATTGGGCTGTTCAAGCCCAGGTATTCGCACCAAAATACTGGTTTACCATGCAAGTCCCTCCCTGACAGGAGGTTGTGCTTTGCACCCCTACCTGCTGGCAAACAAGGGACTTTTTTCAAGTTTGACTTATGAGGTCTATCATCAAAACATTCCGAAGTGACATTGGAGGGCTTCCCATCAACATCTGTGGGTTCCTCAGAATTGATTTAGAGCCTCGATAATCGATTTTCTCTGCAAAAATGAAGAGTTTTCGAGTCCAGAGTGACTTCTGCAAAGGCTCCAGTTTGCACGGGGAGTCTTAAATTTTTCAAATCCAGATGAGGAGATAAGAGCATCTCCACCGCGGGCCCTATATTGGGGCCCTATCCCGCATATAGGGCCCGCACGGCCAAAAACGACACCCACCGCGGCCCCTATAATAGGGATGAGGCTCAAAAGTCCCTATTTAGCTGTATCTATATAGACTCGATAGGGCCTCACCTTCAACTGTGATCCTCCCCCCTCGAAAGGTTTCACAAACACCTCAAACCCTGGTCCTCCCCCACCAATCTACATCAAACACCTACTAGTCTACAATGGCCGCTCTGGATCCGCTCCTTCTCACTCAAACCTCAATGACAAACACGAACTCGGCGACGTTGACTACCACAAACACTCCGGTGGCACTAGGAGGTATGAAGCTTCTTTCCTATGTTGGGAAGAACAATCAATGCTGACTTGATTCAATGTCTACCCAGTTCCAAACACCCCCGTCATCAATTCCCATAACAACCAAAGCCAGGCCGCAGGCTCTTTGGAAGAAGGCGATGATTCCGATTCAAAGCGTAAAAAATTGAGCCACTACCAGGAGCATGAGGATGTTGAACTCTGCAAGGCCTGGATAGCTATAACTGAAGATGCAAGAATCGGAACCGACCAGAGTGGGGCAACGTTCTGGGGTTGAGTTCACAAGCTGTATAGTCGAGCCATCACCCAACCGAAGCGTCCTCAGAAAAGTGTGAAGAGTCGATGGGGACTGCTCCAGAAGGACATCAACAAGTTTCAAGCATGCGTCATCCAAGTGGAGAACATGAACCAAAGCGGGGCCTCCGTGGAAGACCTCTTGAACATGGCCCTGGAACTTTACTCTGAGAATCAAGGATCGACCTTCTATCATATCCGATGCTACAACATACTTGTGAAGTGCCCCAAGTGGCATGACTACTTTCGTCAAAACACCGCAAAGAAAAATTCCAAAAAACGTGCCAGAAGTCCAAGCAGTGAAGTGCCTCAATCTCTCCCGACCTCGGAACCAGCCACCTCCACAACCGCAGAAGACCGATTGGTTGCAGAGGAATCCCAGACTGATACAGCTACCGACCGGCCTATTGGCAAGAAGAAGGCGAAAGCGATTCACCGATCTAAAATGGAAGGAGACAATGACTGGAAAGAAGAAGTGGCAGCGGCTCAGAAGGAAATAGCGACTCAAGCAAACCATCAAAACAACATTGCTGACATCAAAGCGCAATCAATGAAATCCATCGCAAATACCGCCAAGACAAACGCGATTACTGCAATCATGACAAAAGACTTGACGGGCTGCACTCCAACTGCCCAGAAATACTTTGAACTCAAGCAACAGCAGATTCTGGAATCTCTTGAATCCAACAATTAGTTATCCCACCTTTTTTTTTCTTCAGGCTATTTTTTGATTTGTTTTTTGTGTCGCTCATTGTTCTATCTCATCATCTCTCGCTTATAATCTCTGATTGTTTCTCAAATGTTTGCCTTTGCCTATGTTTCTGTTTGTTCTTGATCAATCACTTGTTTCTTCTCTTACAACAAAAATTCAGGGAAATAGGACAAATGATTGGTGAATCATTTGTTTGTTCTTTTTCATTCAGAAGTTGGAATTTTTAAAAAAATAATCAAGAAAGAAACATATTGATTGATCAATTGAACATTATCTTTCTTTATGAAGAAGCATTGAAAAAAGCAAAAGAGAAAATGATACAAAAGATTTGAGTTGAGAAAGAAAAAGAGGGACAAGAAATAAAGAGAACGATCAATTGTTCTTTTGATGTAAAAAATGATCAAGAAAGAACAAGCAGGATTGAGAGTGTGTTTGATAGAAGAGAAAAACATTGATCATAGAAAAAGGAAGATCAATCGTTTGATGAAAAAATAGATGAAGAAGGAATTATAACGATTGATCAAGGACCGGCTATTCAGAAGAGGGACCTTTAAGGGCCCAGAGATGCTTAATCAAATCATTGCGGACCTGGAAATGTGCGAATTGCTTGATAGTTGGATAAGAATTCATCAAAGGCGAGGATTGATGGGCTGGCCATATCGACTGGGCGGATGACTTTGACCGTTGTCATGACCCCATTTTTGTCGGTGTCATACTCGAAGTTGAACTTCCCTTCTCGCTCATCCTCCACAATCATATTGTGGAGGATGACACAAGACTTCATGATGTTGACCAGGTTATGATGCTTCCAGCCTTGTGCTGGCTGAGCGACGATAGCGAATCAAGCCTGTAGTACTCCAAAAGTCCTCTCAACATCTTCCGATACGCTTCTTGTTTCTTCACAAAATGTTTCTGATCAAGCTCCTGCGGTTGCGTCAGAGTCTTGACCATTGTAGCCCAATCGGGATATATTGAGTCGGCAAGGTAATAACCCATCTCATATTTGTGATTGTTGACAGTATATTTGCATTTGGGACCTATCCCGTTTTGGAGATTCTTGAACAGAGGGGAAGTGTCCAGTATGTTGATGTCGTTGTGTGAACCTGGCATGCCAAAAAAAGCATGCCAGATCCACATATCTGCTGAAGCAATGGCCTCAAGAACTATGGTTGGTACCTGCCCAAAAAAGGATTTGCATTCAGAATCCCTCAACATAATACAGAGATTGAATATGAATTACCTTCTCCTTTCCTTGGAACTGTCCTTTCCATCCGGATGGGCAGTTCTTCCACTCCCAGTGCATGCAATCTAGGGATCCGAGCATTCCTGGAAAGCCTCGCTTCTCTCCGATCTTGAGGATTCTTTCGAGATCTTCTTTTGTTGGATGGCGCAGGTATTCATCTTTGTAAATAGAAACAATAGAGTTGCAAAATTTGTCCATGCTCTCCATCGAAGTGGTCTCTGAGAGGTGTAAGTACTCGTCATTGCAGTCGGCAGCACATTCATACGCAAGCATGCGCAACACAGCGGTTATTTTCACCAAAGGATGCAATCCCATCTTCCCAAGTGCGTCCGGCTTTTGAACAAAATAATTCTCGTGTTCTTCAACGTCTTTTGCAATCTTCAAAAACAAGTTGCGACCCATTTGAAATCTTTGACGAAACATAGACTCGGGGTACAGTGGTAGTTCAGCGAAGTAGTGCTCAATGAGTTTTTGGTAGGCGCCTTCGAAGTTGCGTGGTAGATTGGGTTTCTTTCCTGGTCTAGATCCACCGTGAACGGGTTCGTCATCTTCATCAAGCAATAGGTTGGTTGCCTGTAGGATTGCATATGTCCTCATATTTGAGCTCGTAATCAATCGACGTTTTTGTTGGCGGATTTTATAGAAGGTCAAATCTTCAGTCAGATCTTCGGTGTTCATATTTGAGTAGAAGGGAGGTCGCGGGGATGGTAGGGGATGGTCGGGAGTGGAGTTTCATGCAAATATGTAGTCCAGATAGCGCCTTCCGGTGGAAAAAGAGAATCTTGCCGGGCGCTATATCTTTTTTTTGGTCCCTATTTGAGGCATATAGGGCCCCGCAAATAGGGCCCGCGGTGGAGATGCTCTAAGGTTATGATCGGGGCCTCTGGGTTCAGGTTAAGCCCTCCCAACATCCAAACCTGGCATATCCCTCTCCAACACCGGGTACCCAATAGATCTGTGAGCTCCATGCAAAAACCTTCAAGTGAGAGGTCAAAATATTTTCCTGATCTCTGCCATAAAAGTTGTCAAAAAAGTCCAAAAAATCCCTAATTTCTGCCATAAAGGGCTGTTGGTGAGTCTGACCCACAAAAAGATCCTATATTTGGATACTGGGTATGTATCTCCTGGATGCATCCTTGGCGTGACCCAAGCCCGAGGATAGCACCGGACCTTCAGGGTGCGGATCAGAAGCTTATCAGGAGAGATGTAGACCTTGTTCCAGGTCAAATCTCGACAGACAAATTTCCCGGGGCAAGATGGAGGAAATGGAGGGGCATCGGCGAAGTCTTGCCCATCAAACAGCCCCCATCTTCCACATAAGTACACAAGCTAGTGACAATGCATGTCATGGCATCGCTATTTAGCTCAATTTAGCTGTATGCTGGCTTGATCCACCGTGATCGCGTTGCGAGGCCAGCCGGCGCCCAGCAATACTATGTATACCAGAAATCGAGAGGCTTTTGTGTCCAGTGGGGACATACAGCGCTTTGCAGTCAGAGATAAAATTCGGTCATCAGTTTTTAGTCTCTTGGATAAATTCATCACTCGACCATGCTCCTCATTAATTTCTTCCAGGCGATATACATCGGTTTGGCTCTGTTGCCTATGGTCACTATTCTCCATTCCGGTCAGGTTGCACTTGTAGATGGTCGACTCCGAGAGGTCATTTGCATGCCGCATTTCGACAGTGAGGACAACAAACCGGATGTTTGTAAGACATAAATAACTCACTCGTAAATTATCATATCGTTGAACTTGAAGCGTAAAACTCACTCTGCTTCAACATCTTAAACCATCTCAGCCTGCTGGTTGGACAAAAACACAAAGTTCATATGCCCAAAAACTTCCTGCAGGTCAACTAAGTATCCAGCAGTGAAATGTGAGTTGGAATCTGATTCCTTTCATCGATAATCATCCAGACATGATGTGACAAATGATTACTAACTCTCCTTTCTTTGTTTTTGACACATGCCCTCGCGTTAAACGGATATCAGTTGGCGAATTGTTGTATCAAGGATGCCTAAATGATGTTGCACAGAAGTACAATAGAAGAGTCCACCCACGTAACTATCACCATTACCCCAAGGGTGATGGAAAATATGAATGGGGTCGCAACGGATTTGTTTGTAAGGGTTTTTTAAAATCGTTGAAGCTGAATTCAAGTACCTACTAAAACCAACTTTCTTCGGGCTCTAGCCGCCTTTGACAGCGCCAGTCAACTTTGGTATAACTGTCTATATGATGGCAAAGAGGATAACAAGGATACCTATAGTCAGTCTTTTTGTACTGACAATCTCACAGCAATATGCGAACTGACCAAGTCGTCTTTCTTCAAAACGAAAAACAAAGCCTGTTCGGATTGCAAGGAAGCATCAAATCCGACAAACTAACACCCCCAACCTGGGAAAAAATTCTTTTCATCCTTTTCGTCTTTCTTTCTGCAAACGCCATCAAAAAACACTTGTTGGATTCGTCTCTCTGTATAACTCATTCTCCATTTCACTGTTGTTTTTTACTCATCTATTCTCTGTTTCTCCTATATAGTATTCGTAGCTTATTCCATTAACATGGCAGCATTGAGATATACCTTTATCTTTGCAGTCTTTGCACCGGGATTAGCAGTTGCAAAAAAAGTAATCATTCTTGTTTGGACAATTTGTTATCGTGATTATGCGGTCTCAGTTGAAATATACCCCTTCTTTCTCCCACCTGTTGATCGAGCTTACAAGGAAGATAGTTGAAGAAAGCTTACCCAACCAACCACTGATTCGAATTGAGTTTTAAATAAAGTGAATTTAATGGGGGGGGCAGAAGAGTAGCAGAAGTATTTGAAGAAGAGGAAGAAGGGAGATATTGATACACGTCTGGAGATGATGGATCGGTCGGATCGGTGTTGATTCTTTTGATAAGTTTGGGTTGCTTGGGATGAATTAAATCGAAAGCCTTTTGATAATTCGTCATCAATCTATTGATATATTTACAAATCACAGATAAAGTATCAAACAATGCCATCATTAGAGATTTCCTTCAATCATCCAACGACTTTTTAACAAACGAAATCAAAGTAAAAAGAGTTATTATTTGTAGGGGAGTGCGAAAAAAGGGAGGGAAAGAGAAGGGACAGAAAAAGAAATACCTTTGGCAATTAGATTCGATCAGATAGTCGTCCTCCCATACAGGAAAGCTAACTTGAACGAACTCCTGAGGGATGGACGCTATAGTTTATGGGTCTGACTACACTGACGACTTGAGCGTTCGAAATGACGATAGAGTACAAGAGTTTCCGAGCAAACGAATCGTTTTGAGGCTCGAGCAGATTAGAGTGATTGAGCGAGGTGATCAATTTACTGATCCGATCGCCTGAGGGGGCATCTGTAGACTGTCAAGCTGGCCATCATGATACTGAGATCCCATTGGAGTCGATCTACTAGGCCGTTGAAGATCGACTCCGTCCCACTCAATCCTCCTCTTAGATCGTAATTCGGCCGTTGCTCAAAGATCTTCTGCAGTTGGGTCGTCAAGAAAATCGATTGGATTAATAGGTTTAAATATTCCAGATGCATTCGAAGCTGTAATGAACGAAACCAACTGGTTAATTTCAGTATGTGTAAAACTTTCTTGTTGTAAAATCTTACGGTTGATTCGGGTTCACCCCAGTTAGAGACGGCCAAGAAATACAAGGGAGGTCTCGACATGACTTCGATCTTGGCTTGTCCGGCATCGATATATCTATGAGAGGGTGCTCCTTTGTGGGTTACGAGATGATTTGATAAGCAGATTGAGAGAAGACTAACCTGAGTTAGATGGAGATGACGGCTTGGATTAATCCCATCTGACTGGTCAGGTCACCATCCGGTCGATCCTCGTCCTCCTTTTCTGCTGACCAGACTGGCTTTCCTGCACTAGGGAGGATGTAATGTCTTCTGGGTTGAGTTGTTTGTTCTGAGTGTTGATTGGATCTTGCTGGTTTGTGGGTTCTTGGTTTTCGAAGTGGTTGTTCTTGACTGCCACCTGACCGGGCAAACAAACGGGCGGGTACCGGTAGGCACCGGTGGACGATCTCCCGGGATAAGGTCCCCCGGCCATCCCCGAGGATGTCCACCATCTCCCTCCGTTAACGTTTGCCTCTGCCCAGGACCCTGGAAACCCCCGAACTATGTGGGTAACCTGAATGTATGAATTTTTCAGAAAAAAACGAAAATCATACTCACGAAAGTGGTATGAATGAGTTTGGTTGCCTGAAAGGTTACTCACCAAACAGGCTTTAAATGTATGAATATCCGCTAACTTGGGGGAAAACCCCCCAAAAATGGCCCGGTCCCCGCCTCTTCCGGGGGATTTTCTCACTTTTCGGGGAATTTTAGCCCGAGCTTACTCACGAAATGTGTATGAATGGGCCCAAATGTGCCATTCCCCGGTGCCCCCCGATGTATGAATTTAGTCAAAATTCCGGTATTTTGGTTACCCACATTTATAGGGGGTTTCCAGGGTCCTCTCTGCCCTCTGGTGGATGGAAACAGGGACCACCAACATGTGCTGCAACCAGCTCTGATACCGACCTTCAAATGCTACTTCAATCACCTGGCTCACCACGCCTCATTACTGGCGTAGCCGAAATCTCACTCCGCTTCGACAAGAGCCCACTGTGTTGCATATCTACCACAAGTACCGAGATCGAACCCCCATTTCGATCGACTGCCGTCACAAGACAAGCCAACAATGCCAAGCCTAGTCATCGTCGCCCGCCTGGGGCTCATCTGCACTCTCTTGATCCTGTGGATACTGTGCCCGGTTGACACTAGGGGTTCAGGACACAACAAAATTTGTAAGACCTGCAAGAGAGACAACCCGAACATTACATCGAGGAGCCTCAAGTTCACTAAGGAAACTATAACAAAAACTTGCGGGGAGCTCCACGTGCCTGAGATTGAATGCGAGAGCAAAATATCTGTCAAAGTTTACCGCTGCCCTCATTGCCAAACAATAGCATGGGTCCCCCAAAGCTTGTGCAGCACCAATCACCCTGGCAGTGGCAGACTCCCTCCTGAGCGTTACATTGAATTTGAGGCCATCCCAGCGGAATCAGTTAGCGGAATCAGTTAGCTCAAGCGCACCTTAAGGATATAGGACAACACTGTCCCCCCCACCGTGGTGAATTATTTCTTTGCCTCTTTCAAAGTCTCAGTTTTATGTGCTATGTATGCTTCAATTTTTAGGAATGATAAAATTAAACCAAGACAGCTACATAAGGAGCTTGTTGGAATTCGATTCCTTGTCTTATCCCTTGAAAGAGAAGAGCATCAGGTAAGTTTATCACATGATTGATAAACAAGTTTATCACATGATTGATAAACAAGTTTATCACATGATTGATAAACAAGTTTATCACATGATTGATAAACAAGTTTATCACATGATTGATAAACAAGTTTATCACATGATTGATAAACTTCCTGAAGAAATAAATTAAAATCGTAGCGCTGATCACGTAACCTGTGATCATTTGCAGAGATAGGCTGTTCAACAAAAGAACAAGAGAAAAGCGTGATCGTAGCTTGTACATTGAGTAGTACTAGTGACCTCAATGACATCACAAGCAAAGATAAGAATGATGATTATGATCAATTATTGAGCTCTAGGTGAGTCTTGATGAATTGAATCAAAGTAGTAAGAATCAGAACAAGAGAGCAATCATTGAGTTCTAATTCTTTGTTTACAAAATTATTATTCATCATCTTTAGCTTACACTCGCACAAGACTATTGAACATAAGCTTATCACTTGAATATTTCAAATTCCACCATTAGTCAACTCATCAAACAAATAGTATCACACAGCTATTTTTTCAAGAAGAAATATTGTGTTACTTATTAAAGTAAAGTCTTTCTTTTTATATTAAAAAGAAATGATAAAATCTATAGGGAAGGCTAACAGTGCAATGATCTTCTGATAATTGATTCAGTTACTTAAATTATTGTATACACAACTTATCCAAAGTCATTTCCTTTATCATTGTTAGAGTTTTGGCAATTGGATTCTTTGGTCCCAAACTAGAGATGGTCTCTGAATATCTGTTGCAGATATCTGCTATCCGCTGGCGGATATCCGCCAGTGCCAACGGATACCCGCCAGCGGATGCGGATGTCCCCTTTCCCCTGAAATCCTGGCAGATATCCGCCCACATAGGAGGGAAAAAAAGAAAAAGCAAAGAAAAAAACAAAAGAGCAAATAAAATATAAAATAAGGGCGTTAATAAAAAAACGCGGTAAATCCGCGTTTACACGCGGTTTCTGCTGCGCGCAGCACACGCGGTTTTTTATTTAATTTTTTACCGCTTATTTTTCAAGTTTTTTTGAATTTTTAAAATTGTTTCCTATGTTTTAAAGCGTGTAGAATTTAATGGTAAAAACCATTTTTCATAAAAATGACTTTTGATTAATAAATTTTTTTTCCACTCATTTTTTCCATTAATTGTTTGCATACATGTTTTTACCTAATTTTTTATGCTTTTTTGAAATTTGAAATTTATTTCCTAGGTTTCAGTGTGCTTAGAATTTAATGGTGCAATCCAAATTACATAAAAATCAATGGTTCATTCTTAACACTGAAATTAGACACATTTTTTCACATAAATTTCTACAGCTTAATTTTCATTCTTTTTTGACATTTTGAATTTTTTTCCTACACTTCAAGACATGTATAAAATGATGGTAACAACCATTTTACATAAAAATCAAAGGTTGTTATTGATTACTGTGTTGGACAGGTTTTTTTTGTGTTTTTTTAAATTGATTTTTACCAGCTTAATTTTGATCATTTTTTGAAATTTTAAATTTATTTCCTACATTTAAAAATGTGTAGAACTTAATGGTGAATTCAAATTTGCCTGAAAATAAAAGCTTCAATCTTAATACATGAGTGTACCCCGTTTCTTGCATAATTTTTACCGTATACAAATTTTATTTGAATGCAAAATGAATACAGCCATCAAATCCAAAACCTTTCAAAGTGTAGGAAATGAACTTGAAATTCTATAAAATAAGGATTATTAAGTGTGTAAGAATTAATTAAAGAAACATGTCAAATGCAGTATTCAAGATATAGTTTTCATTTTGATGCAAATTCAATGTTAGTATAATTTTATGCATGTTTGAAAGTGTAGGAAAAGAATTCAAAATGTCAAAAAATAATGTAAATTATGCTGTTAAAAATCAATTGAAAAATATGACTCATTACAGTATTCAGAATGAACCGTTGAGTTTTATGGAAATTTAATGCTACCATTAAATTCTGAACATATTCAAATGTAGGAAAAAAATTCAAAATTCCAAAAAAGCATAAAGAATAAGGTAAAAAAATTCATGCAAACAATCAAGTGAAAAAGTGGAGAATTAAATAAAAAAAACATGTCAAATGCAGTATTCAAGATATAGTTTTCATTTTGATCCAAAATCATTTTAACCATGTCTTAAAGTGTAGGAAAAAAATTTAAAATGTCAAAAAAGAATGAAAATTAACCTGTAGAAATTTAAGTGAATAAATGTGTCTAATTTCAGTATTAAAAATGAACCGTTGAGTTTTGAAAAATTTGGATTAAACCATTAAATTCTACACACATTGAAACCTAGGAAATAAATTTAAAATGTCAAAAAAGCATAAAAAATGAGGTAGAAACATGTATATAGCAAACCATTTAATTGACGAATAAGTGGAAAAAAAATTAATAATCGAACCTCATTTTTATGAAAAATGGTTTTTACCATTAAATTCTACACGCTTTAACAATAGGAAACAATTTTAAAAATTCAAAAAAACTTGAAAAATAAGCGGTAAAAAATTAAATAAAAAACCGTGTGCAAACACAGAATCCGCGTGTGCTGCGCGCAGCAGAAACCGTGTGTAAACGCGGATTTACTGCGTTTTTTTATTAACGCCCATAAAAAACACAGTTTTTGCTGCGCGCAGCACACGCGGATTCTGCATTTGGGTGTGTTTTTGATTAATTTTTTACCACTTTTTCATGTTTTTTTTTTGAAATTTTAAATTTATTTCCTAGTTTTTAAAATGCGTAGAATTTTGTGGTAATATTCAATTTCTTTAAAAATCAAAGGATCACTTTGAAAATTCCAATCAAACAATTTTTTTCAATTAATTTCTTACAGCTTATTTCTCAATAATTTTTGATATTTTAATTTTTTTTATCCTACACTTTAAGCCATGTAAAAAATTATGGTAATAATCATTTTACATCAAAATGAAAATTAATTCTTGAATATTGTATTTGGCATGTTTTTTGAATTAATTCTTATAGGCCTAATTTTCATTATTCTTTGGAATTTTTGAAAAAAATTAAAATGTCAGAAAATATTGAGAAATAAGCTAGAGATGGCCGCTTTGCATCCGGATATCCGGCTGCTTTTTCTAGGGAAACCAGCATCCGCACCCATATCCGTATCCGCCAGCGGGTATCCCCCGCCTTAGCGGGTATCCTTGGATACCCGCCCTCTAAAGGGCCGGCGAGGGACCGGCTGGAAGGGTTTCCTTCCAGTCAACAAGGTACATGTACCTCGCCACTGGAAGCACGGTGGGCCGCTACACTACCGTAGCGGTTAGTGTAGCGTAACGCAGCGGTATTCCTGTTAGCGCTAAGCGTAGCGTAGCGGAATTCCGCCACGACACCGCTAACGCTGTGGTGGCGGGAGCGCGCCTTGGCCAAAGCTTTGGCCGGTTTGTTTGGGGCATGCGGAATGCTCGCGGCGCTGATGCGGAAAGCACGCGGAGCTGACGCTACACAAGCGGGCTGAGGAAAGCGGCCGTGCATTAGTGGAAAGTCTAGCTTTCCGAGGCGCGGGAAAGCGGAGAAAGGTAGACCGAATGCACAAGGTTCTGAAAAGCTTACTGCGGGGAATTCGGGCATCGGCGGACGCCGGGGATCACGGCCGACTGCGGAACGGGGGTTCAGTGTATACTGCGGAGAGGCTACAAAGAGCGGGGAGCACCGAGGGGCAGAAGCGGGGTTCGGAGCGGACCAGAGGCAGAAGCGGCGGTGGGAGACCTGCTTAGGAGCGGCCGGAGGAGTACTTGGACCGACAGGCGTCGGAGGGGTGACATGCGGAGTCCGAGGGGGTGACAGCGGATGACATCGCGGGAAGTAGGAAGGGACTGGAGTGTGGGATACCTAGGAGGAGAGGAGTTCGAGGCAGAAGAGGAGAGAGAGGGGGGGGGGAGGACTCAGAACATATCAGAAAAACAGAGTGACTTAGGAGTGAATCGTGGATTAGCCTAAAGAATTGTTAGAGATAGAGTAGAGTTAGTGTATTACCTACAAAAGATCAATAAAAGAGAACTAGTTTACCTACCTACAAGACCATCAAGCAAGTTACCCCGGACAACAAAACCGGAGTAGGACGCGTTGCGGAGCGGAGAAGTGCAAGAAAACTCCTAGGGCGCGCCGTGCTTTCCACAACGCTACGCGTGTGGGCCAAAAAAAAGGGTCCACTACGCTGCGCTACAGCGCTTTTTAGCGGTTTTTGGCCGCTTTTTCCGCTAAAAGCGCTGTAGCGCAGCGTAGCGTAGCGAAAACCCGCTAAAAATAAGCTAACACTACAATTTTTCGAGGAAAAAAAAGCGCCGCTACGCTACGCTTTTTGGGCCAAAAGCGTAGCGGCCCACCGCTGCTGGAAGGAAACCCTTCCAGCCGGCCATCTCCTCTTTCCGGCCTTGGGTATCCTTGGGGATACCCGGATATCCGCCGGGATTTCATGGAAAAGGGGGCATCCACACCCAAATCCGCATCCGCTGGCGGGTATCCGTTGACACTGGCGGGTATCCGCCAGCGGATAACAGATTATCCCGGACCATCTCTAAGTGTATTGTAGGGGCCCACTGTTGATGAAAGATTCCAGAAGGGTACACAGAGTTTCTGTTGAATTTTTGAGCTTGTGACAAGATGGCAATGAAGATTTTTGAGAAAATGGCACAAAAAAGGATGAGGGCCTTTTTTTGGGAAAGGTTCACGGAAAATGAATGGACGAACCAATGAGTTTTTTTATTCACTGTATTTAAGCTGACTTAAGTAGACTAAATACAAGTGAGCAACATGTGGTTGGGAGAAAATGAATAAAAAATTTAGAGAAGATAAAATAAGTTCTTGAAAATAACCAACTAGACAACACTTCTCAGTCTTTTGTAGTCAGGCCAGATGAGTCAGTCAAGACAA